GCAAAAGTTTATGCATTGTTTTTGCCATAGTTTATGCATGACCAATCCAATTTGATTTTATGCATTATTTTTTGTTAAATTTTTAAATTCCATTCATAATTCAAATGTTTGACAAATTTCTCAAACTTTATGCAGAATCATTTTTGGGCATGGACGACTTTACAAAAATTTGGCAAGAACCAAATAAAATTTTTCTACAGCAGTTTTGGCTCCTCCCCAGTCCCTCCCCATATCATTTTGTTGTATAACTGTATTAAAATTACGTTTATTTAGGGTGTTTTTACCCTGTTTTTTTAAATAAAATTAGAAATAATTTTTTATTTGATTCTTGCCCTCAACACGAGTTTGATCCCCTTCCCCCTCGCCAAGATCTGTACAGCAAGAGTAATCGTCAAGAGTAGGTTTCTATCCAAAAACATACATAAACTATTAATAGATACTTCAAATATTTTGCTTCCATCTCTATATATAAAACTTGTACTAAACTAGTGGTTTGGTTGAGATTCAGAGAATGTAATCAAAAGAGTCGTGACGATTACGTGACTATAGGCACGTAATAGATGTGTTAGCAAACTATAAAGAGTTTAATAAATTTTTTCATTCTATCACAATTTGCGCCAAAAATTACTTTTTTACATAAAATACAAAAAATTATTATTTTCATATATATACACAAAATTTCAACTTTCTTCTAGAAGGTTTTCAAAATATTTCATTTGCTAGAATAAGGTCTTGTATATTTATTATCTCTTGATCACTAATAATATTATCTAAAGTTTTAACATGCAATATAAGCAGTTATGTGTTTTGCAAATGTTATTATCAAATATTAACGGTTTCTAATAAACATTTTCAGTTATAATAGTCACTTAGCTTTTGTTTACAAAATAAATCCAATTGCTATTCCTAATTTAAGCGTAAAATAATACACATAAACTGACTAAAATTTCTATGCTGTGCATGCGCGCAGTATATATTCGTACTAATCAAATTGACCACATTGTATGGTTTTGCCCTACATGCACACTTGAGCGCTACGACGCGATGGGCTATAAATAACGATTTTGAAAAAGAAAAACAACGTTTTTTGACGACTCTGAACTCGTCAAAGTTTAATACGTTTTCCGCTGAACAGCCCAAGTTTTTTGTCGTCGTTTGCGAACAGCAGCGCTACACGTACGGACCATCAGCAAGGAGAGAAGAGAGGCCGAGGCTGAGAGCCTGGGAGAGAGAAAATCAGCCTTCCAATTCGTCAGCGCCCAGAAAAGGAACGACCTTTTGCCTCCCATGCACGCGCGAATTGCAGCGAGCAGCATCGAGCGGAGCTTCAATGCTGCATCGCGAGAACAGAATCGATCTAGCTACCGAGTTGTCTAATTCTAGCCTTTTTTCTTTTGTATAAACTGTCGCAAATATATAGAGAGGCTTTACGGATAGTTAAGTCCTCTTTTTAAAATAAAGAAATTGTTTATTTTTCCATTTTCCAAGTTACCGGATCCGTGTTATATTTTTCCTTTTTGAATTTGCTTGAGTTACGCGCCCTACACAAGGTGGAGATATAACATCGGAGTCTCAGCTAAGAGACTTAACGCCATCTAGTAAACTGAAAATGAAACATACTAATCGACATATCAAGAGTTGAATTCGGAAATTAATTAGCAATCTTGTCAGTATTTCTGTCAGAGTATTTCCGTGAATGACCTAATAGTCTGGTCAAATTAGAAAAATTTCTAAATTATGGATGTGAGTTGAGGAATCAAAACTACAACTCGATAACTTTTTTGAATGAAATAAAAATAACATAATATTTCTAAATAATAAAAAATACCTTTTACTTTTAGTTAATATTCTTATAAAAGTGTATCTCTTACGTATATGCACTTTATATAATAATAAAACATTCAATGTAAATTGAAAACGAAATTGCCATATAACAAAACTTCCTTCAAAAAGTTAAGAAAAATATTTATTATTAATATTTAAAGCTCAAGATATCTTTGTACGATTATTTGTCAATAAGAATTATCATTTCAAAATTAGATCCACTCTGTCCATGAACAATATATATATATATATATATATATATATATATATATATAATCTCATAAGACTACATAATTTAATTAAAAATCACGTAATGATTGGATGCTATACGTAATATGCTATGTGTGTGTGTGTGTGTGTATGTTTTTTTAGTTAACATATCATGTATTTCAGTCATTATTAGTGTAATGAACCTACGAGTATATTTACACTATTTGTAACTAGCCATAAATTCATTAATTTTACTTACAAGGAAACCCCCCCCCCCCCCCCACTCCCCACCCAACCCGACCTCGCTGATTTCAATAATTTTTTTATGTTATAGTACTCGATAAAATAACAAACACGTCTTTTCTTTTTGTGCCGTCAACCACTTTTAAGGGTAGAAAGTCATCCCTGAATCTTACGCCTAAAATGGTTTTCTTATTATATCTCAGCATTTCATAAATATTTTTTAATAAAACCAAATGGAGAATATTTATTATAAGAAGTCTAAGATATTAGGCGTATCTATGATTCAAGGAGTTGAAACTCTTATTTTATATTTTTAAAAAACTAGAATTTTATTAACTTTTTTCACGAAAACCAAAATATCAACTCAACAAAATTAAGTAAAGCATTTCTATTTACTATATCGAATATTTAAGTAAACGTGTTCTTTTTAATAGACATCTCGAAGCACTGTTAGCCACCCCTTAAAGTGATAAAGCATATTTGGTGATTAAACGTTAATTTTTTTCTTAAGATTTATTCGGAACAGAATATAATTTACATCAAAAGATTCTTCAAAACTAAATTCAACAGGATTTTCAAAATTATCTAGTTTTTTTATCAATGTGACCGCTTTTATACCAGGAATATTTAAACATATTTTTATATCTCGATGAAAAAAGCTGATTATAAACAATACATTGCATTTTTATAATATTATTTCTCAAATATAAATTCGAATCATAATCCATTAATGTTTTTTGGCATTATTTTTTCTATAACTTTTTCGCAGTGTCCACTCCGGAAATCGAGTAATAATACAGACTGATGTCCTACTCGTGAATAAAATAATTGTTCTAACCAAATTTTAAAGAGATATAATAAAAAAATATAGCTATCTATTTCAAAAAGTATAGCCATCATTTTCTTTATTTTTTCATTATAATTAACAAAAAATTACTCACCTGTAGTTAATTTTTCAGATTTTGATGCTTTTATATACACGTTTTTCGGTTTAAATAACTGTTTTTCTACAACAGGGCTAAATTGACAAGTTGACTCTTTTAAAATTATGAAAAGCAGTGAGAGTAGTTGTCGAATAGTTGATATAAGTGGATATATAGTGTAACTATGTACTGTCGATGAAACAGACTTTTAGGCATTGTACCTGTTTTTCTCCGTCACCTCCTAATATTCTTTCAGAGTACATTTCTAATTAAAATCCATTTTGATTTGAATTATACAAATTTTCAATTCCAATTGATGGTATACAAGATTTTACATCAGCTATAAACATTTCAGTTTTTGTTTGAAGTTCTAAACCATTTTTAAATGTATTTCTAATAATACATTTATTTATTTTTCTACGCACTACTTTATATGCTTTTTTAAACTTTAATAACCAATTTTTAGAAGCTTTGAATCGTACATGTTCAAAATCAATTTCTTTTTGAACTTGTAAAGCCCATGGATGAATATCACAACCGTGAATTAGTAAACTACTTTCAACAGCAGCTCTGAAATTATCTAGTATATATTTACAGATTCGTGCAATTTTTTTCGCTATACTATAAAAAATATATATTCTATATATTCTATATAAATATATATATATATTCTATATAATATATATTCGCTATATTCTATAAAAAAATTATTGAAATCGATGAGGTCGGGTTGGGGAAGGGGGTTTCCTTGTAAGTTTTTTTATCCTTAGTAACTATAAATTTTCCAATTTCATTATTCTTTTCAGAAAGCAAATTGAATTGAATATACTCATTTTTATATTTGTATAAGCAATCTTTACTTTTATACTTTGTAAGTAAATTATGAAAGCTGATATCAAACAAACTCATTTTTTGTAGTACGAGTATATTAGCATTTACAATATTTTTCAAAGAATTTAATCGACTATTAATCATTTGTTTAGTTATAAAGTTTTTCACATAAGTATGAAAACTAATTTTATTAATAAATAGTTTTTCCTGTAATTCTAGAACGTCTATAAGTTCTTTTCGAACTTGCACATCACACAAAGCTTCATGAAATGTAGACTTTTTATCTAAACCTAAAAAGTCGTGAGCTAAGTCCCCCAATTTATATGACCCTTCTTGATTAATTTTTTGCTCGAGATATTCCATTCTGAAAACTCGAAGAGCATCAATGGAACTGTCGATGACTTTGAATTCTTTAAAGAAATTGTTATTATGTAAAGCATGAATAAGTCAATTTATATAAAAAAAAAAAAAAATTACGAGCAGCTAAATTACACAAAGTTGAATCTTTGTTCAAGTAAGTTAAAAAAAGCCATCAGTGCATCTTTTACAGTTCAATTTTTTTTTTTTGAAAAATGAATATCCCGAATGTCCAGATAAACCATTAACTTTTATTACTGTGTAGGAATAACTGGAGTTAGTTTGAGTGCTGGTAACCCTAAAGCATTTCTTCGAGGTACCCTCGATACCATGGACTTACTTTATATTTTAGGGGTCGCTAAATCGGAATTTCGAGGGTACCAGGCCGTATTCCTGTTCAATATTTTACTCGAACACAACGGCGAAATAATTAAATTTTCGATTCCTACCACCCCATTTTCAACGTAACGAGGAGGTAAGTATAAGGTAAGTATTTTTTAATTAGTTAAAAAATATACTATATTAAAATACTTCGTTTAATTCAGTGTACAAAATAATAAAAATGATAATTTTTTCCTAAATCATAAAGTAATATACAGTTAGTACGCGCTATCTTTAGAAAGAGCAATGGCTCAGACGGTAGAGCACTGTCGTATTCGCTCCGTGCGTACTTTCAAACAAGACTGCAGCAATACCTGTGGCGTTTTACGGAACTAAACGTTCGCCACACGCATAGTGTGGTATACGAAATATTCGTGTAATTGAATGTTACCAGATATAATTATGAATAATCTCATGGAAGGTAAGCTATTTTGAAACAATATGATGTTAAAAATACTTGTTATTCAAATTAAGTTTGAACTTTTAATGAAATAAATGTTAATTCCGTAATAATTATTTTGTCTAATATAACCTTACATTTTCAGAGTCTGTAACAAACAAAACAAAAATTCACCGAGTTACACATGCTGCATTCTTGAATGTTATAACAAAACTAACAACACAACAGGCGTGAAATTTCATAGATTTCCAACATTTAATGCACATTTTCCACACAAACTTGCAAAACGTAATGATTGGATAAAAGCAATGCGTCTGCAAAAGTAAGTTGGTGATTTAATATTTTAATCGAGAATTTTGTGATGATTTTGAAAGAACTTTTTTTATTATTGTTTTTTTTGTTACCTTGAATGCACAAAATTGAAACGAGCAAGTCTTATAATGTTTTTTTTAAACTTTCTCTAGCTCAGATGGATCACAGTGGATTCCCAAAAGTAATACTCGTATATGTAGTGCCCACTTTGTAGGTAATAAAAAATCACAAACTATAAACCTATAATATATCCAGGAGTATACAAAAAACGTCTTGTGAACAGCGATCAACACTTGGCTAGGTACATTGCCATTCATTCATGATTTGAAGATTCCAAATTGTCATTTTTATTATAATAAATTATGTTAATATAGGTACAAAAGAGGGTTAAAAAGATCTAGCAATCAAGTGATTGAAAATGCTGATTCTAAAAAAAGAAAAGTAGACTCCCCACTTATGGATCACTCAACGTTAGGCAATAATATGGCTAACCATACCATGGCAGTAACCAGTGGATCTATCGGCATTGTAGGCCGACACTATTACAATATTGAAAGGATAATGCAAAGATTGAGAACACATAAGATTTTGGATAAATTGACTACCGAGATGCTACCATACATGGATAAAATAATTTTCATGGCATGTATATTAGTAAATTTGCAACCTCCAATTATAAAAGAAAAGCAACTCTAATGTAAGCAAATTTTATGTTCTCAGAAACATTTGGTAATTTTAATAGTTGCAGATATAATTGATTAGAACTGTTTAGTTGATCTTAATATTTCACAAAAATAATCGTACAAAAGTATTTATATTATAAACAATAATTTATTTATAACTATGATCTATTAAGTTACATTGTATCACATTGTTTGTAATGTATCACAATAAATCTTGCACATAGTACAAGGTTTTCTATTTTATTTGGAATTTTAAAAATATTATTAAACCTATCAATTAACAAGATTTGTTCTCGCCATTTTCTTTTTCACTCTCCATTAATACTGGCAAATAGATATTAAAATAAAAGTCTTGAATTTTTTGGAATTACCTTTTCAAGATAAATTTCATCTCTTGGCACTAATACAAGTTCACTGCCCTTTGGTGACCATACGTCTAAATCACATTCTTTTAAATCAGTTATGTACATCAATACTTGACATTGGGTGTAATATTGATGACTTTGTTTTAAGCAAGTCGTTTCATTGTCTTTAACAAGATAATTAACATTAAATTTACCTGTGCTTGTATCTAATATCGGTTTACTTTTGCAAGATGAAGGGCACTTTATTTCTAAAATTTTGGAGAGTTGATTACACAAGCCGACAAGGAAAAAAACCCAGAAACCAGACAGTATGTTCCCGAAGGTTTTTGGTGCGCTGAAACCGAATCTGACATCAGAATTGCTCCATCACCCTAGGGTTTCGAGAAATCCTAACCTAAAAGTTCAAAAAACACGATTTTTCACTATATTTCGCGTAGTATTACGTCGTAAGCCAATTTTATTTTAAAAAACGAGTAATGCTATCTCAAAGTACTACTCTTACTCTTCAAAACCCATTTTTCAAATTTAAAAAATCTTTTTTTTCCATCGAGATATCGTAGATTGAATTTGAGTGATTTAGCGATTTCGTTACAGCACGAAATAGTGGCGAATTTCCGATTAAGGAGTTATACGAGGTGTGATCAAAAAGTAAGGTGAATTTTTATTTTTCTCAAAAAATATTTATTTATTCATCATTTTTTATTTTATCTCCTTCAAAGTAATCCCCCTCGGATATAATGCACTTGTGCCAACGCTTTTTCCAATCCTCAAAGCATTTCAAAAAATAATTTTTTGTGATCTTGTTTAGTTCATCCTTCGATGCCGTCTTTATCTCCTCAATCGTGGCAAAACGCCGTCCTTTCATGGGCCTCTTTAGTTTTGGGAACAAGAAGAAGTCATAGGGGGCCAGATCTGGGGAATACGGTGCCTGTGGCATCGTTACTGTGTTGGTTTTAGCCAAAAATTCGCTCACAAGCAACGATGTGTGAGCAGGGGCGTTATCATGGTGCAAAAGCCAATTTTTATTTTTCCACAAATTCGGACGTTTCTGGTGGATTGCTTCGCGCAAATTGTGCATAACTTGCAGGTAATATTCCTTATTTACTGTTCTACCCTATGGCAAGAACTCATGATGCACCACGCCCCTGCACTCAAAGAAAACTGTAAGCAAAACCTTTACATTTGATCGAACTTGGCGTGCTTTTTTTGGTCTTGGTGATCCAGAATGCCTCCACTGGGACGATTGAGTCTTAGTCTCGACGTCATAACCGTATACCCATGTTTCGTCACCTGTTATAACCCTGTTGAGTAAATCTGGATCATCGTTGACGTCATTCAGTAGCTCTTGGGCGATGCTCATGCGACGTTTCTTTTGGTCGAAATTGAGCAATTTCGGAATAAACTTCGCTGACACGCGTCTCATGTCTAAAACACTCGTCAAAATTGATTGGCACGAACCAAATAAGATGCCAATATCATCAGCAATTTCAATAAATGGTAATTCGACGATTTCCCAACACTATTTTCTTCACTTCTTCAACATTCTCATCAGTTGTTGATGTGCTGGGGCGTCCAGAACGAGGTTCGTCGTCGGTGTCTTCTCGGCCTTCTTGGAAGAGTTTATACCACTTGTAAACATTTTTTTGGCTTAAAGTAGACTCACCGTATGCCACTTTCAGCATTTCAAGTGTTTTGGAACACTTGATTCCATTTTTCACACAAAATTTAATGCAAACTCTTTGATCCATGTTTTTAGACAGCAGCAAATCGTGGAGCACGCAAAACACTTCTAACCTTGATGCCTCTCACAAACAAACCAAACATACTACAAAGCTGAAATTTGGAACGTATGTTCTAGACGAGTGTACCGACATAACCAAATAAAAAAGTCGAAGATCGAACGGACGTAGCCCGCTAAATTTCAAAATTCACCTTACTTTTTCATCACACCTCGTAGTGTAATTATATGATTTTTGTGTCACTGAATCCAAATTTAACGTCAGAATGACTCTATAATCTCAATTCCCTTAACCCTAGAGCCCCATAACCTGCGACGCTGTAACCCCTGACTGACATACTCCAAAGTCCTTAACTCTCGAGCCCTTTAACCTGCTGCGGTATAACCTCCGACCCTCACACCCCAATTTCCTTAACCCTCGAGCCTTTAACCTGCTGCGGTATAACCCCCGACCCTCATACCCCAATTTCCTCAACCCTCGAGTCTTTAACCTGCGAAGCTATAACCCCCGACCCTCACACCCCAATTTCCTCAACCCTCGAGTCCTATTACCGCGACGCTATAACCCCTAACCCTCATACCGAAATTCGCTACGCAGAAGACCTCAAGCCTCCAAATTATATTCAACCCCCGAGCCCTGCAAGTCTGCAACCTCAGACTTCTTTGCCAGAATTTCCTCGTTCAGCACTTCAAGCTGCTATCGTATAACCGTATGTCTCTACATTTCAATCCCTCCAATATCCAAGCCTTGTATTCTACGCAGCTTTCAATTATGCGTTTTAAATCTCATTTATTCAGTTTGTGAGTGTTGCATCTAAATATCTGCAACTTTACAGTTTTTCACTTCTTTTTTTTATGAAAACGCTGTCGTTTATCTTGAAATGAACGTTTAAGAGATTTGCGTCTATGATTATCTGTCAATGTATCGTGTCGGTGTAGAGCCCAGCAATAGTCAGCCATCATGCTCTCATTCCATCTACCTTGATAATGTTCCTCTTTGTTTCTGAAATCTTTCACCCATTTCTTCACTGAACGCCCCAAAATTGTCCGGAAAGTATTCCAAATGTGAAAACAAAAAGTGTATTTTCAGGCTCATCAAACACTCTAATTTTTAAAAATTCTGTAGCATTGTCGACACAATAGTTTTGTATTTAGGGTCCCGGTGGTTTCCGAGAAAATTCTCGGTGACCCTTTTGAAACTTATCCAAGCATTTCTCTCATTAGTCGTCATTGTCAAGAGGAATTCATCATCTTTCATAAGTGCTCGAATGTCTGGCCTTACAAATATGCCTTCCTTAATTTTCGCTTCAGACAATTTAGGAAATTTGCCCTGAAGATACTTGTAACATTCGCCTTCCTTATCTAGTGCCTTGACGAATTGCTTCATCAAGCCCAGTTTTATATGGAGTGGAGGTAACAAGATATGTTTAGTATCAACAAGGTTCTCATGGACGACATTGTGTAATCCAACAACCATACCAATTCTTTTCGTCCATTCTTTCCGAACCTAATGTTCTTCTCGTGCACGACTGTCCCAGAGACACAAAAAACAGGGGTGCTTCGTATTTCCAGATTGCAAGCCAACTAATATATTGATCATCTTGAAATCGCCACAAACGAGCCATTTGTATTCATTGTAATTGATTTTCTCAAGAAGGAATCGAAAGTTATCGTGAGACTCTTTCATTATAGTGGAATGAGCAATGGGAATAGCTGCATACTCATTCCCATTGTGCAGAAGTACTGCCTTGAGACTTTGTATAGATGCATCCATGAAGAGTCGCCAGTTCTCTGGATTATAACCTCTTTGAACTCCATATAAACTGATGAGATGCTTTGTATCGTTGCAGTAAACAAGGTTATCCACGCAAGTAAAAAATGGTCGAAATTTAATATCTCTCTTCCTGTAAATAGAAACTTTTATCTCAGGTAATAAAAGATTTCTTTCTTTTAGTCTTGAAGCTAAGAGTTCTGAAGAATCTTTAGGAAGATTCAAATCATGGATCAGATCATCCAAAGAATTTTGGTCGAAAAGTTTGGACTTTTCTGAGTCAGAAAAATCTTCTTCATCACTACTGCTGCTTTTGTCAGTTACCGGAACTTTTATTGGTTGAAGTTTTTTTGGCTCAGAATCAGAATTTTTTTTTCTTTCTATTTTTCCATACCAAGCTGCTGTTACACTAGAAACGTTTGGATAAAGGAGAGAAGCTTTGTTATTATGATTAAAACCTAAAGTATCACATTTACAAAAGTAACAGTTATCATGGTGATTTTTAGGTTCACGCCATATTGTTGGTTGGAGAACAACTTCGGTTTTAGTTTTATTCCAGTTTTTCAAACTTTGGCGACAGTCTTCACAAATATATTTAGGAACCCATGGTTTGTCTAAATTCTTCATAGGTGTCTCGTAACATTCTTCAAACTGATCTTTAATGATATCAGTGATTGATCGACGAAGTCGAGCTACCTCAAATTTACCGCAGATATTACAAAAGGAATCGATTTTTCCTTTGCATGGAATTCTACATGCCGACATCTTCAATAACTTATAAGTTAATTGGAAATCACGAGTAATATTATAAACTTATTCTAATAACGAAATGGGTAAATATAATTAAGTTTCTAGAAGACAAAGTAATAATTAAAATCAATGAAAGTACTGCACGCAGTGTTGTACGAGAAATAATATCAAAAATTCAATTCCAGTAACTTATCCGTTAGCCTGCCGCTCAAACACGATCCCTAACACGGATGAAGAACGAGCACAAAAATTTGTAGTTTTTGAGCAATGTCATACACGGTTATCCTCAAGTAAGGAAATGTAGGCCCTAAGTAAATCCGATATCTGCTAACGTAGATCTTTCTTCATCGTTAGTAGACCAGAAAAATGTAAGATTAAAAATCCTAGCTGATCGATTTCACAAGTTATAGACAATTGTATGTAAACGTAAAT